GTCTAAGAAAATTTTGTCAACAAGACAATGAGAATCCAAGGAAAGTGAGTCTTAAGTGGGATTGCTTGCAACTCCTTCACTTTCCTGGGAATTTTTATAGTGTATATTGAACCATAGTAGCACTTACTACTATACAAAGATTCTGTGAATTATTTGACTTCATACCTCATCAACCCTACCATCTCACTACCCCTTCACCACAAAATGCAACCAAAACCACAAAATCATCAGAGAATTGCTTGAGATATTGAAATGGAGGAATTTTGAAACCAAATAAGAGAATTACAAGAACAACTTGCAAGACCAGGAGCCATAGGAGATAAAGATCCAGATGAAGAAATTGGTAACAGCTTCAACATTGAAGGTGAGGGCACCAATCCACTTGGGGAAGACTCTTCATCTCAAGATGAATCACCTACGTTCTGTCCAGGGGGTCGAGCCAATGAATTGGGGATTTAAAGTTTCAAAGTCGACATTCTTGAGTTTGAGGGAAGACTTCAACCAGATGATTTTATTGATTGGTTATACACTATAGAAAGAATTTTTGAGCTTCAAGACATTCTTGATGAGAAGCATGTAAAGCTGGTTGCAATATGCATCTATATGGTGGGAGAATTTGAAACGGCAACGAGAAAGAGAAGGTCATCAGAAGATCAGATCATGGGAGAAGATGCGTTGAGAATGCAAATGCAAGTTTCTTCTAGCACATTATCAGCATGACTTTTTTCTTAAATTTCATAATTTAAGAAAAAAAAACCATGTTAGTAGAAGAGTATACAATGGAGTTTGAGCAACTTCTTCTGAAATGTGATATCCATGAACCTGAAGAGCAAACTATCACTGGTTATCTGCGAAGTCTTAACGTGGAGATTGCAGATGTCATACAATTACAACCATCTTGGAGTCTGATTTAATTTATCCAATTGGCGATTAAGGTTGAGAAGCAGCATGCACGAAAGAACACTATAAATTCCACTAGACAGCGGAAGACTATAACAAGCCATGGGAAACAAAGCTCAGCACCCTTGTCAAATCCTAAAGTAAACTCTTTCAAGCCTCCTTATAGAAATGATAAAGAGGGTGTTCTAGTCGTACTCCTAATGTCACTTTAAAAAAAATGTTTTGGACATATCGGAAGCGATATGCCCAAAACCTTGGCACTTGAAACATTTTCTTGGAGTTGTTAGAAGGTCATCAGTTAAAAACATATTTCATTCAATTCAGCAAAGGAAAGGCCAATAACTACAAAAACATTCATTTCAATACAACATAAAAACATGTGTCCTCTCACACCATCCTTATAATCACAAAAAACCCCAAAAGCTTCTTCACATTGATATACAATTAACTTTATGGAAGTATAACGACCGAGCATATCCAACTTCTTGAAACAGCCTCCAATGACTCTTTTATATAAGACCTAGATCCTTCAAAGTGAAGTTATGCTTTTACACCTAAATTCATCAATTTTTTTCATTGATTTTATTATCTTTTGATTCCAAGATCTTTCAACTAAAGTTACTCGATTTTGAAGGGTTTTTTATTTTATTTTAATTAGTTTTATTTTGGAAGGTTAAAAGTTGTTTAGTTTCGTATTTAGGGTTTTGGCTTTGTTATATAATATTTTTAGAGTGAATTAAAATTAGGTTGTTAATGAGATGATGAATCAAGGAGGCAATTGGCACTTACAATTCTAATACTATAGCCGCACCTTCACTGCAATATCCACAACAGTCCAAGCAATGGATAGATGTTGAATGCCGATTCTAGGTAAACAAACAATTAAACAAATATCCAATCTTATTAAACGAATATCCAATCTTATTAAGAAAATGTTTTGGGCATATCGGAAGCGATATGCCCAAATATGCCCAAAACCTTGGCACTTAAAATATTTTCTTGAAGTGACATTAGGTGTACAACTAGAACACCCTCTTTATTATTTTTATAAGGAGGCTTGAAAGTGTTTACTTTAGGATTTGAAAGGGGTGCTGAGCTTTGTTTCCCATGGCTTGTTGTAGTCTCTTGCAATCTAGTGAAATTTATACTGTTATTTCGTGCACGCTGCTTTCAACCTTAATCGCCAGTTGGATAACATCAATCAGACTCCAACATAGTTGTAATTGTATAACATCTACAATATCCACTTTAAGACCTCCCAGATAACGAGTGATAATTTGCTCTTCAAGTTCATGGATATCGCACTTCAGAAGAAGTTGTTCAAACTTCATCATATACGTTTCTACCGACATTGGTTTTTATCTTAAATTATGAAATTGAAGAAAAATGTCTTGCCGATAATGTGCTGGAAGAAACTTACCTTTGTGTTCTCGACGCATCTTCTCACATGATCTTATCTTCTGGTGACCTTCTCTTTCTCGCTACCATTTCAAATTCTCCCACCATATAGATGCATACTTCTTCAATTTAATTGCAACCAATTCCCTCAAACCTAGGAATGTCTACTTTGAAACTTGAAATCCTCAATTCACTTGCTCGACCTCTTGGACGGAACCTAGGTGATTCATCTTGAGATGAAGAGTTTTCCCCAAATAGATTCTTCATCTGGATCTTGGTCTCCTGTGGCTCCTTATCTTGCAAGTTGTTCTTGTAATTCTCTTATTTGGTTTTGTAATTCTTCCATTTCAATATCTCGAGCAGTTCTCCATCAATTTTGGGTTTTTGGTGGCTTTTTGTGGTGAAGGGGTAGTGAGATGGTAGGGGTGATGAGGTATAAAAGTCAAACAATTCATAAAAACTTTATATAGTAGTAAGTGCTACTATGGTTCAATACGCACCAGGAAAATTCCCAGGAAAGGGTTCATTATATTTTAATGTGTTCTTTTTGTTATGATCTGATATGACAAGTTTGTTCTTCAAAAAGCCTTAGAAATGGAAAAGTTTGGTAATGATGTGGCAAGTTTTATAACAATAAGTTTCTGACAATTCCATTGAAACTAAACGTCATTTTCTTTTCTTGCAAAGTCAAGCAGAGTAGTGTTGCTGATGATTTGGTTTAATAGTATCAATAGTAGAACTGAGACTAGTTGGAGTGTGGATCATCAACGTAGAGAAAAGAGTGTTGGGAGTCATGCATTTTGGACATGGAAATGGTGTAACATAGATGAACAAGATGATGGACGCAAGGTAGAACACACACATAACACATAAGCCCAAAAAGTTTCAAGGTAAGGATGGAATATTACCTACTCCTTTGCTATTTAACACTTGAATCTTCTTTCTTGGAATTTTAGTTCTTCAAGTGAACTTGAAGAACCTCAAAATATGATCCACACAAGTCAAAGAAGAGAGAGCCGAGAGAGTGAGAGAGAAAATTAGAGAGTGATTTTGTTTTAATTGATTCAATTTTTAATCAAAATGGATAAAACTTAATTTATATACCATGGGCACAAAGTGTAATTTTAAATTTTTTTGGGAAGGCCTCAAACAATTTAAAATTAACTTGAGAATAAACATTTATGTCAAGTCCTTGGTTTTATGGTTAATTCATAATTAGACCAAATTTTAATTCCATTAAATATCTAACCCTTTAGAATAAAACCAATGCACTTTTGCCCCCATCATTGAATCCAATTCAATAATAATATTTAATAAATCCTTATTACACTTGGTTAGTGCTAGCTATTCATGGATAATCATTTCTTACCAATACATTAATTCGGATACAACCATTTACGTCCGAACATCATTAATCTGATTAATGATATGTATTACTCTCTCTCCTTGAGCTTGGTTTTATATGTGACCATTTTGGTTCATTGTGATCTAGCCGTGGGCCCAATATTTGATTTTGATATGTTTCGGTATAATTCTTTATAATCGAAACTCCTACTAATTATGGTAGATGTCTATCAATGTTCCATAACCCCTAAACCACAATGAAGTATAAACTCCAATGAACCTATTCTGATCGTACGTACCGTGTAGTCAAATCCCTCCATTATCTAATCCTGATTAAGAATGGTTCATGGTATGTCAAAACCTTTAACTTAATCTTTAATTGAATTGTCAATCGATACAATGGAACTCGTCAACATGAAACTACTTTTCATCTTACATTCATTATACTCTGGCCAGAGATTTGCCTTTTCCAATGTTTATTGACATTCGTCTGGGAACTCGAGATTGGACTATTTTGAGTTAACGGATCTCATCTTGACCATCACTTGTCCTCGCACATGAATAACATATGACCAAACTGGTTTATTACACAAGACATGGCTAGTCTTAGGTCTAAGAATCAGTGGTACATTAGCACGATCCTATGATACATCATTGACCATATCCATGTGATTCATCGTAATCGGTCGTATTTGATAAATAGTTCACTAACCGTTTATCCATGCTAATGCCTTAGTGACATACCTCTTATAATCACCCACACTAATACCATCACATGATATTCAATGGAGACATTTAACATGCCTACTATGCAATGTTATTGCCCAATTAACATTACTTGCGTAGGGAATTCTTTGATGATTTGATCTTCTGAAGATCGGTGTCATCCGGACATTTCACATGCAATATTAAATATAATATAATATAAATGAAGTAGAAAATCAACATGTGAAATAAGAACACTTTCTTTTATTCATAATATATTTACAAGATATAATGTCTTGAAACCGACAACACGATTGGTTCCTAGGGTATACACTAACAAAGAGGGTCCAATGTGAATTTAATATTAGACTCTAGTTAATAAATTTGTGGGCATTACATAGAGATCAGTAGAAGTCAGCTTGATTATGGTGTACTAACTTTCCTTTGAAAACTTAAATCGACAGAAGCATGTGTTCTGGGGATTTTTTTTTTTTTGGTTGAATTATTAAATTGTTTGGTCGTAGGTTGGAATTGTGAACTTTAGTTTACTATTTGAAGTGCTTCTAATGTAATCTAGGGGATTGATTAGCATGAAAATTGTATTCCTTATAAATGTGGGAAAAATATCTAAGTTATCTCTCTCTGCTGCCTAGTTATAAGGAGCCTAAAAGAGAATTATGACCAAGCCTTACGCACAAATGATGTGAAGGCAATTGTTGTTAAGGGTAAGTGAGTGGATGGGTGGAGATAATATAGGTTATAATAAAACTGGCATCCAGTGTTTGTGTATCATTGTAGATGAATGTGATACGAAGCTAACATCTAATGTCATTGGAGTAGGAGCCAAGGGTAAGTTTTGTGGTGGCTTTGACATTTCAAGTTTTCCCGGAGCTCCAGGAGGAATTCGTATGTTTTCCGTTTCGCATGTCTCTTTCTTCTGGTTTATACATCAGTTGAGCTCCTTTAATGACGTTTCTGTATGTCTTCGCGGAGGAGATGTCGGTTGAAGCTATGTCAATAGATGTTCTAACTGACACTGTAGAGGGTATGTACTTAGTTTTTTTACTTTTGTTAATTCTCTGCTAAATTGTACTTCCCTATGTCGACTATTTAACCGATGCTTTGTTTTCCATCTACAAGAAAACCTTCAGTTGCTTCCATTGAGAGATTTGCCTTGGGTGGAGGATTAGAGGTTGCAATGGTGAGTCCCAGGTCTTTTGGGATTGAAGTTGTTGTTCATAAGTCTATCTGATGATCTTATGATTCTGGTTTGTTAGGTCAGCCGCGCACAGATATCTACCCCTAGTGCACGGTTAGGCCTTCCTCAACTTTCACTAGGAATTATTCCTGGATTTGGAGGTATGTTTATTTAATTTGAATGCAAGAATTATGTTACTGTAATCAGAGTTGAACCAAAGTTTAAAGTTCTTATAGCTGACAGCATATTAAAATTGACATGTTAATTAATGTTGTTTAGCAATCAATGGGTTCCTTTACATTATCACTCAAAAGCCCCTGAATTGTCTCAAGAACATAGCGACTTCCATGCCTTGTTGGTATTACGAAGTTCCTTGAAATGATGTTGGTATGTGTTGCCAGTTCTTTATCTTGGTAGAATGTAAGTTTGGTGTGCTTTGATGTAGTTGCTCTATGCTTTTCAATTAACATCTTTTTATCTTTCCTGCACCCAAATAGACTTCGAAACTGGTTAAAGGGGATGAAGCTTATGATTTTGGTCTCGTAGATGTCATTGTTGCAGCTGATCAATTGATAAGCACTGCACGTCAATGGGCCCTGGATATCTTCGACCATAGAAAACCATGGGTTTCTACTCTTTACAGGACTAATAAGTTAGAGCCCCTCGGGAAGGCAAGGAAAATATTCAAGTTTGCAAGGACTCAGGCCAGGAAGCAGGCTCCGAATCTCGAACATCCAATAGTGTGCATTAATGCTGTTGAAGAGGGTGTGATTTCTGGTCCTCGGGTTGGACTCTTGAAGGTCCTAATCCACTCTAAATTTTTTCTGCTTCCTTTCCGTTGCTATTAGCATGCGATTTTGTGACAATAGATTTATTTTGGTAGGAAGTTAAAGTTTTTGACTTACTTGCAAAATTTGACACCAACAAAAGTTTGGTTCATATCTTCTTTGCTCAACGTGCAACCTCAAAGGTTTGAATGAAATTTTACTGCCAGAATTGTTTTTTGTTCATCTGTATATGTTATTATAAGTTCCAGCAATAAAGTTGTGTTCTGTTGGAGGATTTAACATTTGTATTTTGACTCTTATTCTGATAATTAACATAATATAGTTGGTCAGATTGGTCTTGATGTAGGTTAATATGATTTGAAAAACCACTCAATATTGGGTCGCTCAATCATGATAAATTCATTAAATTAATTTAGGTATTCATTTTCTTAATAACACTTAGGTTCCTCAAGAATGGAGGTAAATATGGAAGTTGTAGGGTGTAGACAAATTAAATATTAGTGTTGAACTGATGTAGAATGTCTAGCGGATGAATTCATGAAGCGGGCTGAACGTCAAAAGTCCATACGTAAAGCCTAAAGGTCTTAAATGAGCATGTCTCATTCAAACGACTATAACTTTTTATCTGGGAAGAATTACGGGACCCGTAAAATACCGTTGGAAGCTTATTTTGAGCCCGTCGATGTGAAAAATTGGTTTAACCAATTGGAGGTCATTTTTAAGGTCAAAATCCACCATTTTGGCGTATTTTGGGGCTGCTTTAGTTATTTGCGTGTTTTTTCCTATTTTATTTCAGGTTTTCTAATTTTAATTAATTTAACTTTTGTTTCCTTTTGTTATTAGGAGTCTTATTAGGGTTGGTTGTCACCCTATATAAACTTATTTTTTGTTTTGGATGTTATTCATTGAGTTATTCAGATTTACCTCAGATTTTAAGGCTTAAGTTTCGTGATTGAGACTTGTTATTAGTTTTAAAGGTGTAACCGAGTGCTAGCCTTGTTTTATCACTCTAACTCGCTGCGTCATAATCCTCCAAATATTCTTGAATAGATCTTGGAAAATTCTGAATTAGTGCTGATATTCATTGTGCTTACTATTTTCATAGTTCATCGGCATGCCTAACTTCAAACTCAACCATGATGGATAAAAAACTGACTGGCTTACATTTAGATATATTGATCGGCATTTTGTGTTATATGATTCGAAATGAACTTGAAAGTCATGACTTCAAAGTGATTATGGATGACTTTTGATGCTGGAATTATTTTACATTTGCAATCTTCAAAAGCTTCAACAGCGGTGATTATTAGTTAAATTGGTCAACCATGTGTACTAGCGTAAGAGTTGTCGTTGTTACTATCAATTGCAATCTTATTTCAATGTTCATAATACATTAATACTGACTATTGATGCCTTAATCTTCTAACTTCTACATCACATGGCTCTTACCAACTGACAGGTTCCTGGGGTAACTGATCTTGGTTTGATGCCACGATGACTGAATAAGGTTGCAATTCTTGGTGGAGGATTAATGGGCTCTGGAATAGCAACTGCATTGATTCTTAGTGATTATCTTGTGGTTTTGAAAGAAGTAAATGAGAAGTTCTTGGAGGTTAGGATCAATAAAGTCAGAGGTGGGAACAAGGCCATGCTTTAACTTGTACATTATTGTTATATAAGGTAATTCACATTTTTTTTTTTTTTGTATTTATTTTTCCAGCCAATCTACAAAACCGTATCAAAAAAGGAAAAATGACTAAGGAAAAGTTTGATAAGACCATGTTTCTCCTTAAGGGTGCTTTGGACTATTAGAGCTTCAAAGATGTTGATATGGTCATTGAGGTACTGCAATATGCATGCTGATTTACTTTAGTATTTGTTTGTCATCCTAAAGTTTGACTGTTTACTTTATCAATTTGTTCTTGATGCTTTGAAACAGGCTGTTATTGAAAATGTTTCTTTGAGGCAACAAATTTTTTCTGATCTTGAAAAATATTGTCTATCGCATTGCATACTTGCAAGTAACACCTCCACAATTGACTTGAATTTGATCGATGAGCGCACCAAGTCCCAGGATCGGATTGTTGGAGCCCATTTCTTCAGGTAGTATTTTGTGTAAAATTGTCATTGCTTTTCAACCTCTATCTTGGCTCAACAGTTGACTTGTGCTTTTGATGCAGTCCGGCTCATATCATGCCACTCTTGGAAATAGTTCGTACCAATAAGACTTCTCCACAAGTGATTGTGGACTTACTTGATATTGGTAAAAAGATAAAGAAGACTTCAGTTGTAGTTGGTAATTGCACAGGCTTTGTTGTCAACATGATGGTCTTCCCTTACACACAAGCTATTTTTTTGCTTGTTGAATGTGGAACAGATCCTTATTTGATTGGTAGGGAAATTACCAAATTTGGAATTAATAGAATTTGAAGTGGGCTTGACTCCTCACCCAATAAGGCCTTGTTGAATGAGAAGATTACTCCCTCTTATAAACCAGTAGGCTTAAGCGTGCCTAGTCAGTATGGGACTCTAACACTCCCTCTCACGATCAAGCCCATATGTTGGGTCATGCCTGTTATTGGAGATAGTTGTCGGTTCTAACTCCTCACCCACTGGTCAAGCGCTTAGCTCAATTGAACATGGGCTCTGATACCATGTGTTGCCAAGTACTGTTGAAGATCCGAACTTTGATATTCTCCTCTATTGTCACTTCGAAGGACCTGAACCTATGCATTATACTGCGTACGAACCATTTTGTGAAATCTCTAAAAGAGCAAATTAACCTCCCTTTTAGATTTCATTAGACATACCCAAGTCATCATTGTACAGTCATCAATAAAAGTAACAAACCAACGGGATTCACCTAAAGTTGCAACTTGTGATGGCCCCCAAACATCTGAATGTATAAGCATAAAAGGATTTGGACTTTTATTGAATGTTGTTGGGAATGCGACTCGATGACTTTTTGATAGTTCACAAACATCACAGCGGAAGTTGCTAATATCATTTTTTTCAAACAAACTTGGAAAAAGTTTCTTTAAGTAACCAAACGAAGCATGTCCAAGGCACCGATGCCATAACCAGATGTCAGATTTCTGTTTATCCCTTTTTGAGTAATCTACTGTCAAAGCTTGCTTTAACATGGTAGAATTTTGTGACTCTAAATCCAAGTAATACAACTGCCTCCTTTTAACACCACAACAAGTCGTCTGCTTTGTTTGAATGCTTTTAAACTCACAAAATTTAGGCCAAAAAATCATCACACAAGATAAGGCTTTGGTTATTTTGGGGACTGACAATAAGTTATAATTCAGAGATGGAACAACTAACACAGAATCTAAGTGTAAAGTATTTTTGAGAGTTAATGATCCTTCCCCAATGACCCGGGTGGACTCACCATTAGCAGTTGAAACAAATTTTGTGAGGATGTTGTAAGGTTAGAAACATGCCTAGAATCAAATGTCATATGATCGGTAGCACCGGAATCAATTATCCATATACTATTAGAAACAGATGTACACATATTTAAAGACTTACCATCATTTCTAGCAGTGGATACAAATGGTGAAGATTGTATGACATATTCTTCCTTTTTCACAGCAGCAGCAATATAACTTCTTTTCTTGTTGTTGTTGGGCTTGTTGGGTTTCGTCTGTGCATGTTGACTCTCATTCTGAGCTACCATGGCTGAAGTTTTAGCCAAATTTAGAAAATTTAGAAACGGGTTTCTGCATAGATTTTTACCACACATTTTTTTTTTTTTTTTAACAAAACTTCACTCACTTGCGTCTCTTCTTAGCAGTGGACAACTAGCATTGATCGGAAGATGACAGCAGATCGGTGCAGTAATCGACAGTAGGATCAGATTGGTTTGGGATACCGACAGCAACATCTCTTCTCAGAAATAGCCAGTCGGTGTCGTCGATGGCAGGTCAATGACGGCGAGTTCTTTCGCGGCTGGGTTGACGACGGCAACGGTTGCTTGGCTTGGTTGTGTATTGATGATTATTTATTTTCTTCTCTGGCATGGATCTGGACTTGTTGAATGTGGAACAGATCCTTATCTGATTGATAGAGAAATTACCAAATTTGGAATGCCAATGGGTCCTTTCAGGTATCTAATTAATTTGCAAAATATGATTTGGTAACCATGTTCTCACTGTTGCTTTTTAGAAGTTTGATGTCACATTGAATGGGCTTTATGTGTTTCATTTGTTTATGTAGATTGGCTGACCTTGTTGGTTTTGGAGTGGTAATTATTGAGTTTGTTAAGAAACAAGTTGACAGAGGAGAAGCTAAGCTAGCAAAATTTGTTACGCTAAGCTGGAAGTTTTAGTTAGAGTTACTTAGACGGTTATTCTACAAAGTGTATATATATGTATATTGATGTACTGAATAATTTTTTAATGAAGAGTATTCTTTTTTCTTCCATCTGCTATCAGTTCATTCAATTTCATTTTCTTAACATGCTATCAAAGCCATGATCTAAGGCATGAAATTCTCAATTAAATCGTCAAAATTTCTCACTAGATTTGGTTCTGATCTGCTATTGAATTTCATTTATGGTTCTTCAATTCTTTCATTTGTTTTCTCTTCTCTTAAACTATTGAGTAATAGCTTCATTTGATTTTTATAAAAGATTAATGGCAACTGAAGGAAATGACAACATCTCAATTGGAACTGGATCTCAAAGTAATCAAAGTTCATCGACGGTGGACTTCAGTCATCCCTTGTACTTGCACTCCTCGGATACTCCAGGTTCTATCTTAGTTTCCTTTCAACTCATTGGAATAGAGAATTACTCACTATGGAGTCGATCAATGAAAATCGCTTTACTTGTTAAGAACAAGATAGGTTTTATTGATGGAACTTGTAAAAGAGACACAATTTTACTTAACTAGCAAGAACAATGGGACAGATGCAATGCCATTGTGCTCTCTTGGATTATGAACTCTGTGAGTAAAGAATTGCTAAGTGGTATAGTCTATGCTTCAAATTCGCACCTGGTATGGCAGGATTTAAAGGAGAGATTTGACAAAATCAATGGTTCAAGGATCTTTCAATTGCACCAAGACATTGTTACTTTAACACAAGGAACTTCAACTATATCCACTTATTATACTGAACTCAAACTTTTATGGGATGAATATGGATCTATCATACAACTACCTACATGTGAATGTGAGATGTCAAAGCCTTACGTGGAACATATGCAGAATCAAAAACTTCTACAGTTCCTCATGGGACTGAATGAGACATATGTGCAAGCAAGAGGACAAATCTTGATGATGAATCCATTGCCTAGTGTCAACTAAACTTATTCCATGCTTGTGACAGAAGAGAGTCAAAAGAGCATAATAGGATCTACTGCATCAGAGTCTTCCCTAGAATCTACTATCTTATACTCATCATCATCATCACAGCAGCAGTCCAAAGGAAAAAAAAAATTGGAATGTTACTTGTGAGCACTGCAATGTGAGAGGTCATAAGAAGGAAAATTGTTATAGGCTTATCGGCTATCCTCCTGACTTTAAGTTTACTAAAAAAAAATTCGCAGGAACTCAATCTTCAGTCAATCATGTTTCAGCTCCATCTACTGATCATGCTGAGCCTAACAATTCAGGACCTGCTGCAGCTCCATTGTTCTCTAAGGAACAGTATGCAGAGATCCTCAAACTCTTGAACAAAGACTCAACTACTTCTACATCAGATGGAATGGTGAACATGGTAGGTATAAAGTGTTTTATATCTTCACTAGGTGAAAAGCAATCCTGGATTCTAGACACAGGGGCTAGCCATCATATGTCCCTTTGTATTGATCTCTTATCATATTTAGTGTCTTCACATATTTCTACATCAGTTCGATTGCCTAATGGTCATGTGTCTAAAGTTTCTCATATTGGGTCACATTATCTCACTTCTGACCAGAAACTCACCAATTTTCTCTATATTCCTGATTTCAAATTCAATTTGATTTCAGTTGCAAAGATGACAAGAGATTTGTCTTGTTTCATCTCTTTTTTTCCTGACTTTTGCATACTTCAGGACCTCTTCAGTGGGAAGGTAAAGGGGATTGGTAAAAAAGATGAAGGTTTATATTTCTTACTGCCTTTCAAACACCATACATCACTAGTTGTGCCTCAACCTCTCTCAAGGATTCTCCCTGCTATTACTAAGGTTTCTCAAGTTTCCACAGTGCATGAAGATTCCCCTACTTTACATAATAATTGTTGCTTGTCTTCTGTTGAATTGTGGCATAAAAGACTTGGCCATGTGCCTGTTCTCAAGTTGAAATATTTCCCTTCAATAAAGCTTACTCATAGTGATATGAATTGTGTCTTAAATTGCAAAATATGCCCCTTAGCTAAACAAGTCAGATTGCCATTTACTTCAAGTAATACTAGAGCATCTCATCCTTTTGATTTGATGCATATGGATGTTTAGGGTCCTTATGCTCACCCCACTGTTGATCATCATAAGTTCTTTCTCACTATAGTAGATGATCATACAAGGATCACTTAGGTTTTCTTAATGAAACACAAGTCAGAAACTATAATCCATCTTCGAAAATTTTGCTTGCTGGTTCAGAATCATTTTTCTGCTTCTATCAAAGTCATTCGATCAGACAATAGGGGAGAATTTTTTAATACTGCTTGTGCTGAGTTGTTTACATCCTTGGGCATTATTCATCAAAGATCTTGCACCTACACACCCCAACAGAATGGAGTGGTAGAACGCAAGCACAGACATCTGTTGGACATAGCTAGATCTTTGAAGATCCAAGCTGGAATTCTACTTCATTACTGGGGTGACTGCATTCTCACTGCATGTTACTTAGTAAACAGGATATCATCTCTTGTTTTAAACAACAAATCTCCTTATGAAATGCTACATGGAATTCCACCACTAATTACTCATCTTCGAGTGTTTGGTTGCCTTAGTTATGCAACTCATTTCACATCAACAGACAAATTTGCACAGAAAGCCATTCCATCAATTTTCATGGGGTACTCAGCAACTCAAAAAGGATATAGGCTACTGAATTTGAAGACTCACATGTTCTTTATAAGTAGAGATGTGAAGTTTGTTGAGCATGTTTTCCCATTTCTTTCTCAATCTTCTTCAGCTGATTTTCATCCTTATCCTTCATTTTTACCTACACATTCTGAGGACACTGAGTTATCTTACCAATTTTCACCAGTTGATGCACCACACTAGACTTCTTCACCTGATAATTCACCTATGCCACCTGATCCATCTGAGTCTGCACCTCTCATTGGTTTTTCTCATACATCATCATCTCCTATATCACCTCCAGTCTTTAGAGGATCCTCTAGGACTGTTAAACCCCCTATTTGGCTCACTGATTATATCTCTCCTGCTGCTCATTATGCAATCACCAACTATGCTTCTTACAAGCATCTTAAACCTTCATATCACTGTTTTCTCACAGCTATCTCTCAAATACATGAGCCCACTACTTATGAAGAGGTTGTCAAGGATCCCAATTGGGTAGCTGCAATGCAGGCAGAGATAGATGCCTTAGAGGCTAACGAGACATGGACCTTGGTTCCTCTTCCACCAGGCAAATCTGTCATAGGCTGAAAATGGGTATTTAAAGCCAAATATCATTCAGATGGAAGCCTTGAGAGGTACAAGGCATGACTTGTAGCCAAAGGATACAAACAACAGGAAATGATTGATTATACTGAAACCTTCAGTCCAGTTGCTAAAATGGTGACAGTAAGGAGTGTCTTGGCTTTAGCATCTATTCATGGTTGGCCACTTATGCAAATGGATGTGTATAATGCTTTTTTACAAGGGGATCTCTTCGAAGAAGTTTACATGGAATTGCCTAAGGGTTTTCGCAATCAGGGGGAGCCATTGGTCTGTAGATTGCTTAAATCCTTATATGGATTGAAGCAGGCTAGTCGACAATGGAATATCAAGCTGACAGAAGCACTAATCAAGCATGGATAATAGCAGAGCAAACATGATTATTCCCTATTTACTAAAAGGAATGGCAGTAAGATAGTGATTCTATTGGTCTATGTAGATGATCTTCTAATCACTGGGAATGATCAGAAAATGCTATTAGACTTGAAAAATGTTCTACAAAGGAGCTTCAAGATAAAAGATCTTGGTGAGTTGAAGTACTTCCTTGGCATTGAGATTGCTAGATCAAAGGAAGGGTTGATTATGAGTCAGAGGAAGTATGCATTGGAGCTCATATCATAAGCTGGAATGGCAGATGCCAAGCCTGCTAAGATTCCACTCGAACAGAATTCAAAACTCACTTCATTTGAATATGATCAACAGTTTAACGTTGCATCAGAGGATTAGCTGTTGGAAGTTTCATCCATTTATAAGAGGTTGATTGGTAGATTGCTTTATTTGACCATGACAAGGCCTGACATAGCTTTTTCAGTTCAAACACTTAGTCAATACATGCATGCACCTAAGGAGTCTCACTTAGAAGCAGCATTAAGAGTTGTCAGGTATATTAAACAAAGTCCTGGTCTTGGTTTGTTAAAGCCCTCAAGTAGTGAAATGAAACTTATTGCATATTGCGATTCTGATTGGGGAGCTTATCAAATGAGTAGAAAATCAGTAAGTGGGTATTGTGTCAAGCTTGGAGAGTCTCTTATATCATGGAAGTCAAAAAAACAGAGTACCATAGCCAGATCATCTACTGAAGTAGAATACAGAAGCATGGCAGCATGTGTATCTGAGATAATTTGGCTACTTGGTTTGATTGATGAATTAGGAGTAGAAGGAATGAAGCCTGTGATGCTATATTGTGATAACAAAGCTGCATTTACAAATAGCAACCAATCCAATGTATCATGAAAGGACAAAAAACATTGAGATTGACTGCCATTTTACAAGGGAAAAAATTCAGCAAGGAGTTATACGCACAGAGTATATTGCAACCGGAAATCAGATTGCAGACATTTTGACTAAAGGTTTAGGTGTACAACAGCATGAGAAATTGATGGCCAAGCTTGGTATTAAAGACATCTACAAAGTGTCAACTTGAGGGGGAGTGTTGAGTTTGTTAAGAAGCAAGTTGACAGAGGAGAAGCTGAGCTGGCAAAATTAGTTACGCTGAGCTGGAAGTTTTAGTTAGAGTTAGTTAGACGGTTATTCTACAAAGTGTATATATATGTATATTGATGTACTGATTAATTTTTTAATGAAGAGTATTCTTTTTTCTTCCATCTGCTATCAGTTCATTCAATTTCATTTTCTTAACAGTAATTGCAACCGGCATGCAACTTGTTGAGAATTTTCCTGAAAGAACCTATAGATCAATGATTATTCCAATCATGCAAGAGGATAAGAGAGCAGGTTGAGTTTTGTTAAACCCAATGGAGTTAGAAACTTGCCTCTAACCAAGATTCGTTTTACTTCTGGGCAGAATTTCTTGTTAAGTGTTCTGCATTTAATATGCACTTATTTTAGGTGAAGCCACCCGCAAAGGATTCTACTTGTATGATGATAAAGGCAAAGCTAGACCAGATCCTGAATTAAAGAAATACATTGAGAAGGCTCGGAGTGTTTCCAGTGTTGCCGTTGACCCAAAGGTCAAACTCTCTAATCCCTTCTCTCTATTTCTCTACTTGGGGTATAAATTTATCTTGCACTCACATGTTATGGGATCAACTCGGCATACAGTTTTCTAAATTATCAGAGAAGGACATTGTGGAGATGATATTCTTCCCCGTGGTTAATGAGGCCTGTCAAGTCTTTTGCCGAAGGTATTGCAGTTAAAGCTGCTGACCTTGATGTTGCTGCTGTTATGGGTATGGGCTTTCCACCTTACAGGTTTGTATTTTTTTTTTTTTTTTTTGTTATTTAGGTGTTTCCTTTCTGAACTCTTTAGAATACTGGGTTTAATAATATGCTGTTATATATTTTTATCAGGGGAGGAATCATGTTTTGGGCGGACTCTATAGGATCCAAATAATTGGAGGAATGGTCAAAGCTGTATGGAGAATTTTTCAAGCCTTGTGCCTTCTTGGCTGAAAGAACATCAAAGGGGGCTCCTCTGGTGGGTATTCTGTAAATCCTTTAGTTTTCATGTCATTCATACTAAAAATTTAAGAGGATCACAGACTCCTATTGTATTGCCCCTGTGGCCTTAGCTTCTCCTCTAATGAAGCTATGAAATGGTCAGTTTATGCTTACATCATCATGTCATGGACCAGGATCATCTGATGGACCCTGTTAAGCCAGCCTAATCTTCGAGAAAAGCCTTTTCAATGCTAACCACTCGACCTTTAGTTCATTTGAAAGGCTACTATGATATCCATTTGTTTCCGTTAGGAAAATAAATGATTTAATTGGGGACCCATGACTCCTCCATCTCCTGGTCCTGGCTGTGCATGCTGAATGTCACAAAGTGGACCACCAGATTTAAGACCCAGAGAATATTTACTTGTACTTAAATTTTGTTCCATAGCTTTACTTAATAACTCGTCTTAGGTTCACTTTGCACTGACTTTTGCAGAGTGCGCCTGTGGAACAAACCAAATCAAAATTATAAGCCTTACTAGCTCGTCGTGGTGGGCATTGGTTCGATCTTTGTTGCTTGCATGATCTCTTCCCAACTCCGGAGATGCATTATATAGTTCTGGAGGAGCCAAATAATGTTTGAGATAATAAATTGTTGCAAAGATGTTTAGCAAATGGCCTGACATCTCAAAAAATCAGTCTCTTTAGGCATTTTTAAAGGTAATAATACATTTGCTTGTTTTAGCTCTCATAACTATTGTCCTTTTTGCTGTCAACCTTAGAAAAGAGCAACTGATAAGCAAAAATTGGAGCTCTTTTGTGCACAAATTAGAGAGGACCCATGCCATATATGATAAAGCTGGGGACTAAAACTATGAGAGAGATTAATGGGGCCATCTTTGTGGTAATAGTATGAAGTGCGATGATTATCTGTTGCTGATTCCAAACAAAAATCACATTCAACTTGCAAAAAAGCTGACTTTGAAAACATTGGAGATGGTAATGATGGTGTTTCACCAGCCACTAACCAACTGATGAAATCGCTCTATGTACCCCTCTATTTTAGATAGATATTATTCATGCTAGAATGGAATTTAATACCATTTAATTACAAGTTTCTGTGGCCAATAAGCTAGGAGTATGACAGGGCATCGTGCTGCAGAAAAAATTTACCTATGCAAAAATTTTACATGTAAACAAATATAAAACGAAACATTCTTACAACCATCCCTATAGGGATAAAGGGGAATTGAATATAGGATCTCTTCAGTATTATATTTGAGAGCCTTTATTTAATCACTTGACCATCGAGGAGTTGGTTTAAGATAATGTTCTTTCATGTATAATTATATGGTAAAACATTAAAATAAAATTTAGTTGTGTAAATTAAATGTCTAAACTTTGTCTTTAATATAATATGATAGATGATGAGGTGGTATAATTAAATAAACGTATTAAAAAGATTTAGTTTGATATTGTAGAGATTTAGACAGAGACTTAATTTATTTAACAATTCGGATGACCAAATACAAGAAACACTCCAACCAAAACAAACTTTATTACCTCTCTTTCCTCTTTCCTCTTCCCTCTTACAAGATATTTCAACATCCAATCTCCAGATAAAATAAGTATCTTCTGCTTTAGTTTTTCCTAAATATGGAAGACTTAAGCTTTTATATTGGAGTCTTAGGTGAGCATAAGCAATTTCTATCTCTGTACGATTTTCTGTATATATATGTATGCTGAGAAAATATGCATGGTCATATATGTTGCAGGTAATGTTATTGCAGTGCTGGTGTTACTTTCTCCAGCGTAAGCTCTTAAATTTTAATTAAGCTTCTGTTATATGATCTATATATATCTGTTAATTCGGAGTTTAATTTGATGATGATAGAAGTGCATGATCTGTGGATGCAGTAGAACATTTTGGCAAATAATAAAGCACAAATCAACTGAGGACTTTGAGAGCCTTCCTTATATTTGCACATTGTTGAATGCTTCGCTATGGACTTACTATGGCATCACAAAACCTGGAGAATATCTTGTAGCCACTATTAATGGTTTTGGCATTCTAGTTGAAGCTATCTATGTTACTTTATTCCTCATCTACGCTCCATCAAAACAGATCAGGGTTCGCACTTATAATATTAATGTTTATCTTCAGTTCAATATCAGAAAGAAACTCGCATGAAATTACTCCCTAAATTATCTTTTGGTAATTCCAGTGCAAAACAGCCGCTCTTGTTGGGATCCTGGATGTGGGTTTTTTGGCAACAGCGATTCTCTTTACTCGGTTAGCTTTCCAAGGAGAGTTACGTATTGATGCCTTAGGCTTCATTTGTGCAGGCGTCAATGTTATTATGTATGCATCGCCTCTTTCTGCCATGGTAATACACTTCAATCGTCTTTATATTTTGCTTCATGATATTCGTTCAGATTTTTGTTTTATTTTATTTTCCTATAGATAAAGATTAAGGAGTATTTTAAGCTTGCATTATTGGTGGTTCATAAATCCGATAAGTCAACTTGCTTTTTTTTTCTCCCAAAGAAACCTCCAATTAAAATAATGAACTGGAGGCCAACTTCCTTGCTTATTAGATAGACTAAAGAGGAGCGCGTGGCAGCCATTAATGAAGTGATTGAGAGAATGTGACTGTTTGGTTTACGAAGAACACATCCCATAAAGCTAAGCATCTCTAGAGGAAACACACAGCACAAAGAGTGTCTTCATAATTGAGAAACGGTAAAAAATGGTGGCATTCTAAAATATACTGGTCATTTTGTCACTTACTTTGGACAGCTAAATAGCTGCCATACATCACTTGGGCACTTGGGGGGCCTAAGCTCTAATCTAAAGCAACTATCAATTCGTTCAATAAATTGATTTACATTCAGGCCAAAAGTTTCATTTACATTTATTACTGATTTGGTGAGGCATATATGTCTGTTTGTGTGATTGCAGAAAACAGTGGTGACTACCAAGAGTGTGGAATACATGCCATTTTTCCTCTCATTTTTCCTATTTTTGAACGGTGGGATCTGGGCTTTCTATGCCTTGCTGCTTGGTGATATTTTTCTTGGGGTAGGTCAATTCTATTTTTGTCCACTGATATCTAAGATTTTTCTTTTTATTGTATGGTCCCAGCACAATCCTCACATATACAAGTGTGTGATGAAGCTAAGAGAATTCCAAGAGTGGACCTAGGAAAAGTATGAAAATACTAAGACAAAAACAGAGTATAAAGACTCAAAAACAGAGAATGCGAACAAACTTTAAAAAAATCAGTACTGAACCATTATATTTCTCTTTTTTTTTGTTTTTCCACATAACAATCTGTCTTTTTACGTCTACAATTTATAGAGAAAGCAAGTCAGGTGCTGTCCCAGTTCTCTGGAATCTCAGCCGCTCAATCTATAATACAGAGTTTTTACTCTTAACCATTGGATTTATTTACGTTGATACAAGTAGAATGGATAACTACTTGTCAACTTGCATAACTACAAAATGGATGGTTAGAATTTTACCTAGGTTCGAAACTTACTTACTGAGAGATCTACTAATGATAATTAGGTATCTACAAAATGTATGTGGTGCATTTTTTTTAGGTTATTTTTAATCCATTATATTTGTTAATTTAGCTAAACACCCTCTGACAATAAAAATTTATAAATTAACAAAAACATCCTCATCCATCCAATTGATTATCGACAGTTGGCCACCACCGTCGGACGGTGGCCGTAAGTTGCTGGAATGGTGCATGACTGACTGGATCTGGTTGATGATGCGTCAATCTGGCCGTTTTCGACTAGATCTACAGCTAAAGATCTAGTCGTTGACGACGTCCAGATCTACAACTAAAGATTTGGCCGTTGACGACGTCCAAATCTACGTCAAAGGTCTGGTCGTTGATAACATCCAGGTCTTGGTCATCGTTAACGACCAAATTATAGTAAGAAATCTGGCCATCAACGACAACCAATATATGGTTGTCGTCAATAGCTAGATCGGTACATGACCGACTAGATCTAATCATTTGTGCATCATTCTGGCAATTTTTGGCTACCGTTTGGCAGCGACAATTGGCAGTTAGCAATCAATTGGGTGGGTATGAGTGTTTTTGTTAATTTATAAACTTTTATTAAGAAAGGTAATTGTTAAATGTTTTGAGTTGAATAGAATATGATTAGATTTTGAATTTAATAGTAAATATTCACTTTTTTCATTTTTTTTTTAGATCAGATAACATAATAGAATAGGGTTCGAAAAATTAAACAAACAGCGAGTTAGATTTTATTTGGTGACAAGAAAATGGACTTGCTTATTTATAAAACAAAATTTAAGATGTGGTTCAAAGATGGGTTCTTACTTCTTCCACGTATTCAACTCCATTAACTGTTGTTATCCTTATCCGATAAAAAAGGATTATCCGTTGAACTGACTAGGATTGATAAACATTTATGGGATTGAAATGATAGACCTTTGGATCAAGTTTAGGTGTTATAGTATTCGGATTAAGACTTATACCAAATTTTAAGACTTTTTCTTTTTTTTAATTGTACGTTCTTTTAATTAAAATTTAAAAAAGAAAAGAAAAAATGGATAACAACTTATCAACTTGCATAACAAATGAATAACAACTTGTCAACTTGCATAACAATATCAACCGCAACTTGTCAACTTGTTCAACGATTTGATCCACTTGCAGTTTGTTCGGGAGAAATGCAGAAAGTGTTGATATCTGAGAACCGAAATCTATAATCTGCTTGAACTGCTGCAGTTTACAAAAAGGGATCCACAGTCTCTCTTATCACACGTTCCAGGGTCCATCCAATTATAATTTGTGTTGTCCTCTTCTTTTCTCACCCGCACGTTTTTGAATTCCAGGACAATTATTGGGCTCCCTCCATCAACATATGAATATGATTGGTTTTTACCTTCCTCAGGCTTAATTATCAAATCATAGTTCATGTAGCGGATAGATTTCCTTAGGAATTAAATAGCTGAAATTAAATATTAGTCCTATTTATTAATGTGTGGTTAATTATATAATATGATGCAGGTACCAAGTGGCGCAGGGTTTGTACTGGGAACAGCTCAGCTAGTACTCTACGCAATCTACAGAAACTCCAAGCCATCAAAGAATGTTGCGAATGCATTAGAAGAAGGAACACAACGCGAACCTCTAATCTCTCCCTCATAAAAACCATCATTTGCAAATTATCATGAAGTGTAAATAAACCCTAAAGCCAGGAGTATCCTTTATATATATATANGGGGCAGGGTTTGTACTGGGAACAGCTCAGCTAGTACTCTACGCAATCTACAGAAACTCCAAGCCATCAAAGAATGTTGCGAATGCATTAGAAGAAGGAACACAACACGAACCTCTAATCTCTCCCTCATAAAAACCATCATTTGCAAATTATCATGAAGCGTAAACAAACCCTAAAGCCAGGAGTATCCTTTATATATATATATATATATATATTTCTGGAGGTTTAACTTGGTCATTCATTGCTTGACGGGAGGAGAAGGGGTGAAACGTTACTACACCGTCATGCATATAAATTAGCTTATGTGTATACGTAATTCTGTATTATAGTTATAGTTTTGAGACTGTTCAACTTTTGTTACTCTCAGAAGTCTGTCATTTTATCAGTATTCGATAGATGAAGATGCTTGCAAGTTTGTGTTTTAGATATTGCTTTTTGTATGGTCATTAATGTCCATGTAAAGTAAGAAATGAAGGTTTTGTAGTTAATCTAAACTATAAAACATACTTTATTTATTATTCTTTCTCCTTATGTAATTTGAAGCCAATTGTCTTATCACTGAGCTTGATTATTCTAAAATCTTCCTGTTTAGTTTAGTTTATTTGCTCTAAAGTTTTTTGCTTGCCATAATTTGAGTTACTTGCGCAGTCGTGATCTGAAGTAATTCTGTCGGGGAAATCATCTTATAAATGGATTGGAAATAAGAAGATGTTAGATGCATTCATCAAAATATTAACGCATCCAATTTATATTCTCTTTTAAATTGATCATTATCATGTTCAAATTATTTTAGAAAACATAAAGTTAAATGCATGTAATGTTTCACCACGTCAATAAAATGAGTTAATTTTACATGTTAATTATGAAATTATGTAATTGGCATGATAAACCGGCGGCTTGCTGGTGGCAGCGCCGAAGCCTAGCCACCGGCCTAGAGTGGTTGTGTTGGCACTTGGCAGCCCTAAATCAGCCCACTTCCGGCCATTTTTTTATTTTAATTTTCAGCCACCACACAATCACCATCATATTTTATTTTATTTTATTTTTTTGTCTTGATGAACTTGTTAATAATCTGAGTGTATTTGGTTTTCATTATAATTAATGTGATAGAAATCCTGATTTTAGAATGAGAAGTTTTGGAAAAGGATATTTCAAATTATTTTTTTTGGTTATTATATGTGTTATGCTTGAAAAAATAGGGCTGACGCAAAGTCTTGTTAGCATGGGGTGGTCATAACTTAAGAAGGTTCCACGACCGCTCAGATGCGGCCACGTCGCGTGATGATGTGAGTGGCATGCTCCTGCCAGTGCAGTGGGTGAACGCCAGGTTGGCGAATGGTTGGAAATGGTCCACGTGTCCAATCCCTGCACAAGTTGAGAAAATCACTCCGGCAGGTGAGCAATGGGACGCAGAGAAGGATTTGCACGGCATCCACCCCACTCGCAGATTTAGTAATCATTACCTTGATTCATTCCACTATAAATAGAGGATTTCTACCTCATTTGCGAGATTGGCTAATTTCACTCTGGAGCATAGGAGGACACTTCTCCTGATGTGCCCCCAACCCAGCAAAATATCATGGAGGATATCCCTTCAAGCTCATGGCTTGATCCAACCTTCATGAGTTACCTGGAGAGGTTCAACAATACTCTCCAAACAATCAGCCAAAGGTTAGACCGATTGGATCGGGTTGTACCACTCAAATCAAATGAGGCGGTGCTACTACTGAAAACGCCTGCAAGTCGCGCGAAAAAGGGCAAAAGCCTATACCGCGTGCACTGCAGTGCGTCAAAGAAAGGGAAAGCAAGTGGCGCACAGCGGACCCAAAGGTTCTGAGTGACCAATGAACACCGATCGTGCCCTAGGTAGAATACCACTGGCATTGCGACTCGGTGACATGTCGTGGCCTGAGCTGTCTCGTGCCACGTCACACGAGCACTCCCACAAAAGTGCAAGGCGGGGAGATTCCCATTATCGCCAAAATGACGACTTTGATCGTCATCGTGCGGGGGATTTCCAACGCCCGCGGGTCAGTTCGTACTACCACAAAGGTCGGGAAGGTTCCCCGAACCACTCAATGCCATCACACTGCTCTAGCCAGCGTGTGTCAAGATTGACTAGAACTACCGACCGAGGCGAGGAGGAATCCGACTTGCGGTTTTTCCTCAACTGCAACCATGAGAGTCGAACCCACGTCGCGGAAAGTGATTCCCAAATAGCTCAGCTGCCTCAAATTGAGAAGCTACAGCGAGCTCTGGATCAGCTTAAGGCTCAGCGAAATGAGCAAGGGCAAGTCATAGAGGCGTCTCCTTTTTCTTCGGCATTGTTAGCTGCTCCCCTCCTATCAAGATTCAGAATGCCCGATATGCGAGCATTTGATGGGAATTCCAATCCGCAAGATCATTTGTACGAGCTCATGGACCTCCACCAAGTCTTTAACTTGGCAAAATGTCGTTGCTTGGCGGTAACCCTTACCTCCCATGCCAAGCGATGGTTCAGGTCGTTCCTAGTAGGATCAATCAGCTCGTGACCTCAAATGAGCTTGACATTTTTGAGACATTTCCAGGCAAACAGGAAGTTCTCAATGCCTCTAAGCTACCTAAGCAACACAAGGCAAGAGAGGGATGAGCCCCTCAATCTTATATTGACAGGTTCCACAAGGAGCCCCACAAAGTAGCTCACACTCCCGAAGAGTCCGTTCGAACTCTCATTATCGTGAGAGTTCACCCACAGACAGACTTGTGGAAGGAGCTGCAGTCTGAAAACGATGTTTCCCTCACCCGCTTTTATAACCTTATGGAAAAGTACCTCCGTATTGAAAACTATTCTGGATAAGTCAGAGGAGGCCGGTTTGCTTCGGAGAGCCCGAGCCCATAAAAAATCCCTCTTCAGCTAGAAACAATAAAAAATATTGTCGCTTCCATCGGGGATAATGGGCACCACACCAATGAGTGTCGGGCCATCAAGCAAGCAATTGAGGACTTCATTAAGCAAGGGCACTTCAAAGAGTATGTCGATGACTCTACTCCCGTTCGAGGAGAAAAATCTAGAGGAACCGGGAAAGAAGCTTCGTCGTCGCAACGGTCTCTACAGTCTAGGGATCATCTTTGGGGGACCACACCTCGTAGGAAATTCGCAAGGTGCCCATGAAAGGTATGCTTGCATAGCCCGTCATGACCCCATTAGTGTGATGAGCACGACAGCGCGGCCAGCAAAGGTTCGCAAAGAAGAGGAAATCACCTTTTCTGAGAAAGACGCAGAACAATTGCATCATCCCCACGACGATGCTCTTGTCAGCACGCTTGAAATAAGGCGGTGTGAAGTCCACAGAATGTTTGTGGACAATGGAAGTGCCGTTAACATCTTGTTCCAATGAGCTTTTGAAAGGATGAAACTAGATGAGACCGATTTAAAGCCTACATCCATCCCTCTGTAAGGTTTCACCGGGGATCACCTGATCCCCAAGGGAACGATCTCGCTCTCGATCATGTTGGGTGATACCGACGAAATGACCAAAATGACTGAGTTCCTAATAGTAAACTGTCTATCCGCTTTCAATGACATCCTGGGACGAGTTCTACTAAGAAACTTCAAAGTAGTCACCTCAATCTACCATCTAAAGATGAAGTTCCCTACCCCAACGGGGATAGGAAAAGTAAGTGGATCTCAACACATATCTAACGACTGCTATGTAAGGGCAGTGTAGATGGCGTGCAAGGGAAAAGGTACTCCAATCGGCATCCCTGAACAGGCAATGGCGATTAGCAGGATCGAGCCACAACCTGCCCAGCTGAGGATAACATGGATCCTCGTATCCAGGAATGCCCTTGCAGTGGGCTGGTTGAGGACCTATCTGAAGTATCGATTGATCAAAGCGAGTTGAGCTGAGCTGAGCCGAGCTAAGCCAAGCCGAGCCGAGCCGAGCCGAACCGAGCTGAGTGTTGAGAATTGGAAGTAATCTCAACCCCCAGCTCGCCAGCAACTTAACCAGCTTCTTCAGGGAAAATATCAATGTGTTCACATGGACTCATGCCGACATGGTTAGGATCAACCCAAATATCACATATCATGCCCTGAATATCGATAGTGAGGTCAGGCCGGTCCGCTAGAGGAGACGAGCGATAGACCTGAAGCGATATGCTGCCTTGAAAATTGAGGTAGATAATCTCCTCCTAAACGGATCCATCCAGGAAGTACTCTACCTGAGTTGGGTTGCTAACCTGGTCCTGGTAAAGAAGCCTAACGAAAAATGACGGACCTGCGTTGACTTTACCGACCTCAACAAAGCCTGTCCGAAGGATAGCTTTCCCTTATCGAGAATCGACCAGCTCGTTGATGCCGCCTCCAAGCACGAGCTGCTGAGTTTTATGGACGCCTACTCAGGATATAATTAGATTCTGATGTACACGTCAGACGAAGAGCATACCTCATTTGTTACAAATTGAGGGTTGTATTGCTACAAGGTTATGCCTTTCGGCCTAAAGAACGCTAGGGTGACTTACCAACGACTGGTTAACCGAATGTTTTTCGAGCGGATAGAAAAATCAATGGAAGTTTATGTTGATGACATACTGGTCAAATCGCATGTTGCTTCAGATCACATAGTGCATCTCACTGAGATGTTCGATACACTCCGAAGGTACAGAATGAAGCTCAATCCTCTCAAGTGTTCATTTGGAGTATCCTCGGGAAGATTCTTGGGGTATATAGTTAACCAGAGGGGAATAGAAATCAACCTCGAAAAGATCCAAGCTCTCCTTGATATGAAAAGTTTGACCAACCGAAAACAAGTTCAGAGTCTCAATGGGTGAATAGTGGCACTCAGTAGCTTCATATCAAAGGCAACAGATCGCTGCTTGCCATTCTTTAATATACTTAGGGCCAACAAAAAGTTTGAATGGACTCCTGAGTGCGAACAGGCTTTCC